AATGATTAGTTCTGTTATCTTGTTCTATATTATATAAACAGCGTTCATTCTATTTCATACTGGACCGTAGTACAATGACTCTAAAATTCCCTGGCATTCAAGCTTATTAATGCTGTCATATCTCTTTTCCTTCAATCATTTTCGTCACGTGATAAATAAGACACGGCATCAAAACAATTTTATGAATGCACAAATCTACAGGAAGCCCATATCCGATTTAGTTATTGAAAAACACAGGAAGCCCATGACCAATTCTTATTTCCACAGGCAGCCCATCCAATTTAGTTATTGAAAACACAGGAAGCCCATGACCAATTCTCATTTCCACGGCCAAGACCATTTGAAATACCAAAATTGATAACTGATTTTATACTAATCTTATATTTGCTTATCTTTTCTATGATTAAGGGTTGATGAGAGGTCGTTGAGAGGTCGATGAGAGGTCGATGTAAGATTACCTCCTCTCCTCCTGCTATCAGGCTATCAATAGCTTAGCTATCAGGCTATCAATAGCTTAGCTATCAGGCTATCAATAGCTTAGCTTCTCGGCTATCAATAGCTTAGCCATCAGCAGGCTATCAATCATTCACTCATAGTTCTAGTTTATTATTTCATCCAGAGGAGGAGGAGGAAGAGAGGAGGAGGAAGAGAGGAGGAGGAGGAGAGGAGGAGGAGGAGAGGAGGAGGAAGAGGAGGAGGAAGAGGAGAGGAGGGGCTAATAGCTATTGATAGCCAAGAAGCTAAGCTATTGATAGCCTGATAGCTAAGCTATCGATAGCCAGGCTATTGATAGCCTGCTGATAGCTAAGCTATTGATAAAATGGTTGGTCGTCAGCATCACTACAAAACCTGAAACAAAAAGTACACGTTGAAGGTAATATTGTTGGTTTATTGGAAGTGGGCAGACCATGCAATCAGTCAAGCGAGTGGATTTAGATCAAGTGTAAATAGAACTAACTGTAAAAATTCTAAAAGAGTTCAGTACAGAAAAAAAGAGTATTTCTTTTCTTTTCGTTTATTAAGCAAGCAAAATCACATTAACAATAATAGTGGATTTGACGCAGTCGTAACATCCAAACACGAATATAATARCACCAATATTCTTCTTCAAAACAGAAAACTTTATRAGAAATCCTTTTTGCTGGTTTGACCATTACTTAGTAAAACGTACAGCAAAAAATTTCCCTGAAATCAGTTTGGACGTCAGTAATGTGTGATGTCATACATTGGATGATATCATACCAAAAGCTCGTGGCTACGAGGCCTCCGTAAACAAACATTTGAAGAAAAACATTTCCATGAATAATGTGACGGATGTTTGAAGGATGTTAAAGAAAATACAAGCGTACTCTTAGTAGAAAAAAGTGTTTTCATTTTTCGGTTTAATTTTTTTTCAATATTCCCATTTTGAGTTTGCCTTTGCTCAGTCTTGTATTACCCTTAAATGTAATAACACCCATAAATGTAATACCCACCATAAATGTAATAAAAATCAACCATAAATGTAATACCCACCATAAATGTAATAAAAATCAACCATAAATGTAATANAGGGAAAGAAAGAAAGAAAATGAATGATTGAGTAAGTGTGTCAGTTATGATAAGGTCAGTAACTACGTCATATTATTATAAACTTATATCAATATGAAATCAAAGAATAAAAAGTAGGAAAAAAAGAAAGTGAAAGGAAGAATGAGAAAAGGAAAGACAAAAAAGAGAAAAATAGCTATTAGTAGTTTAATTCATAATTCTTTTCTTTATGACTCTAAGCTTAATTAAATATCTATTCTCTGGACACAGCAATATGTGGAAAATGTAGAACAAAACACAAAGAAAACATGCAGAGCAATGCGGCGTGGCTGCTGCAGGAAATCGGTGGCGAGTTCAAGGAACCTTCCACAAGAACAATCAGAGAAAGGTATGCCTTGGGAGTAGAAAGCTGTTTCATTTTACGTGGTAGGTGTCGACTAGCGACAATATATATATTTCTCTTTTTGTCATTGACAGCAGACTTAAAAATTCAACAACCTCAACAATTGAACCGGAAACACCTCGTACGCATCGTGCTGCTGGCACTGACTGGACACCGGGATGCTGCAGGGATCTTGCAAGTGGTAGTTCACTGGAAGATTTGCACATCGACGCGTCTGCTAATAACGATAGAGCTGTTCAAGACTTCAACGAATCGATGGCTAAGATAGCGACGCACACACCTGCTGGAGTTCTTGAGCCGCTGCAGTTTCAGTTAACATCGGCTTGGGACGATGCAAAGCCAGAAGATAAAAACATCTGTAAAGAAAGAGCTKCAGACKCGTGCCGAACTGTTTGCGACCTGATAGCGCCAAAAGATGGTGACAAGCTATTCCAAGCAATCCAACAAGAACCCACAGGCCCTACAGATGACCTGATCGCGTTAATGTGTGCTTATCGTGATGCACAGACCCGTAACTTGAAGATACAAATACTCAGTATATATGCATACCGTCATACCATGAAGAAATTGCAAGCTTTTCACGAGCCTTATGAAAAAGTCAGTATCAGGCAAATCAAGTTGGCCAGATYACATGCGAAAAAGAGAGGTCCAGGCTCAGCTGTCCCTAAGATAGTGCACCATCGGGTGCGTCTAGACACACAAAAAGTTGATCACTTCGTTGATTTCGTCAATCGACCTTATTTTTATCAAGATGTTGCATTTGGAACAAGAAAGATTACCTTAGATGAAGGCAGTCAGATAACAATGCCTAATGTAATCCGCACTGTTACAAGATCTACGATGGTGATGCAGTACTTACAGTATTGCAAAGAAGAGTCATTTGAGCCCATTAGTCGTTCGACAATGTATCGTATCTTGGAAGTGCGAGAAGCTTCACAACGTAAATMATTGTGCGGCCTCGATAATACTGCTGCTGAAGGAGTRTCTGCCTTTGGGCAATTATCTTCTATAACCGATGAACTTTGTGAAGTCGGTGCAGACAAAGAAAACATGACAAGCTTAAAAAACAGGTTGAATGAAGGCATGAAATACCTTAAAACGACATTCAAAACAGACTGCATGGCCGAAGAAAGCGAATGCGCTGACCACTGTAGGCGCTTTGCTTTGAGCGATCCGAGCAATAAGAAATTTCAAAGAAAGTGTTCGCATTCATCACATCAATTGTCTTGCAACCGCTGTCAGCAATTAATATTGGTAATAGATGAGATAGAGGCTGGCATAAAGAATCATCCAAGTAATCTTTACAACAAAGAGCAACGCGATGATCTCATGTACGACTTCAATGCCTCAAAAAGCAAAATCTTCGCATGGAAGTGTCACATCATCAGAGGTGTAAATCAGGAACAGGCAAAACAAGAAGCAATACGTTATTTGTCACCCCATTCTGCCTTAGTTATAATCGATTGGGCGATGAAATTCAATCAAATGAGGTACAGAGAAAAGCAAAGCGAGTGGTTCGGTAAGCGTGGATTAAGTTGGCATATTAGCAGTGTAGTGACTTACAATAATCAATGCAAGACTACTCGAGTTTTGTCCTATGCTCATCTGTTTGACTCATGCTCCCAGGACTGGTTTGCTGTGACTTCCGTTCTTGAGAGCCTTCTAGAAAGTATCAAAGTTGACTTTCCAGATGTGAAAACGGTATGTATTCGTTCAGACGAAGCAGGATGTTATCACACTACCAATCTCATTGCAGCAGCTAAAGATGTCRGTGAACGTGTTGGAATTGCTGTTGAACGGTATGATTTTTCTGAGCCTCAACAAGGAAAGGACGTATGTGACAGAGTGCTTTGTCCAATGAAGGCTTCAATCAGGAGATACTGCGCTGAAGGGAACGACATTCTGAATGTGTCCCATATGAGGGAGGCTTTACAAGAGAGGCCAGTTAAGGGAACAACTGCGGCCGTGAGCATTTTGGATGAATGCAGCCAGAGTCTCGAAGTGCATAAAATCAAATACTTTAGTGAATTACATAACTTTAAGTATGAAGAGAAAGGACTGCGCACGTGGAAAGCCTATGGTATCGGTCCAGGTAAAGTCATACCTTGGAAATCTCTATATGTTAAACATCAAGGAGCGACCAACATATCATTGCAAGAAGGACAAGAGTTTTTCAACACCAGTGAAACAAGACAGCTTTCAGTTGGCAAGGATAATCAAAATTCCAAGAGTGCAGCTGACAGCGATGATCAGCCATCCCTATTTGTTTGTCCCGAAGTAGGGTGTAGCTCTAACTTYGATTCCTTTTCAGAACTCGAGCTTCACATTGATGTTGGTTTGCATGAAATCCAAACAAAAAGAAATGAAACTATATACGATGGGCTCCGCCGAGATTGGGCAGCTAAATTCTCGGGTATCGATACTTATCAGCCAAAACCATGCAGTAAACCAGACGAAGCTTCTTATATATCMCTTGTTCAAGAGACACCTTCAACCCTTAGCATGGGCTGGGCTCTAAAACCAAGAACCGGAGCTGCTCGTTTTACAGAAAATGTGCGGTCGTATTTGACAGCAAAGTTTGACCTGGGTGAGAGGACTGGTAGAAAAGCAGAACCTGAACAAGTTGCCGCGGAAATGCGGWGCGCGAGAAATGAGAACGATGAAAGGCGCTTTGAAAGAGAAGAATGGCTATCGAAGACCCAAATTGCAGGATTCTTTTCACGTCTTTCCACTTCGCGAAAAAAATCCACAGTACGAGATATTACCGTGACCAGTCCTCAGAAAAATGTACAATCTTCGGTAGACGAGGAATTAGACATTCAGGATGTAATACGAGAGTCAGAACGTATGAATCTGTTACAAGAAATTGAGGATAGCATTGGCCTGCAAGATCTCAGCCTTCAATGTTACAATGCTGAAAAAAATACTTAATCACTTTGAAGTACAGTTTAGATCTAAAGACCTTAAGGCAGAGCTCGTGCGTTTGGTTGGGGAAGTCATTAAGGAATGCAAGTGTTCTCCGCAGTAGAATCTCAGTACTGTTAGCTAGRTAAGCCTTTAATCTTAGTTCAGTGAGTACACGACAGGGGCGGCGGAAGCTGAACATTATCCATTGGAGAGGCACGTCAAAACAGGCTGTACTGATTCACTGTTTCGAAATCGTCTYGAAAATAATGTCAGTTGCGAACTCATGTAGGTAACCAAAGAATTTGCTGTTGTAATAATGATGATGATGATCGATGATGATGATGATAATGATAATAAGTATATGTAATAGGACTCCATGAGGAAAATTCCAAGGACTRACAAAATTGGATGAGGCCGTAGGCCGAGTCCAATTTGGCAGCCAGAGGAATTTTTCGAGTCTAATTATTTCTTGATTGGAGAGCATGAAATCCATTACCTATTAATTATATAGCTGCCTAATTAATCCCATATCAACAAGACCTGCCCAATTAAGAAAATAATTGGACAGTTACCTATATGGGATTAATGAGAAGCTGTATAATTATAATAATGATAATGATAATGAAAACTTCACTTGAGTTTTTTCCCGTAATACAATCGTAAATCTCGCTACGTATAGGTAATTTACAATTGGCTACTTGAATCGAATACAAAATGTGACAAATNGCCAAAGACTTCGTGTGATCTTAACTGCTGATAGGAATGTATTACGACGGAGACTGACAAGAAATGGCTTTACTAAGTCTTGCAAATTGGAATGTTGCACAACTGAAAACCTTTAAGGAGGATCCATTGGAGGGCAAGTCTGGATTTTTGGTGCACAGCGCCCGAGACTGCGTGTGATCTTAACTGTTGATGGTAAAGTATTGTATTATATTGAGAGGTAGGCTGAGAAAAAATATAAAGAAATGGCYTTTCTAAGTCTTCTAATTGGATTGAGCACCACTGAAAACCTTTAAGGATGATCCATTGGAGGGCAAGTCTGGATTTTGGGTTCACAGCGCCCGAGACTGCGTGTGGTTCACGTTTTGGATTATGGTCTCTCTTTTGCAGATCGATCCGAGTCGAAGACACTGTCAGGTTGGGAGTTTGGAGGGTTTTGGAGGGTTTTGGAGGGTTTTGGAGGGTTTTGGAGGGTTTTGGAGGGTTTTGGAGGGTTTTGGAGGGAGTTTGTCAAATGATAACGCCCAGGTGTCCTAAGGTGAACTCAATGAGAACAGAAATCTCATGTAGAATAAAAAGGAAAAAGTCCACTTGATTTTGATTTTCGGTATGAATACAAACTGTGAAGGCATGGGCTATCAATCCTTTAGTCTTTAGGAGTTTTAAGTTAGAGGTGTCAGAAAAGTTGGCACAGGGAATAACTGGCTTGTGGCAGCGAAACGTTCATAGCGACGTTGCTTTTTGATCTGCCAAAGTCGGCTTTTCCTATCATTGCGAAGAAGAATTCGCGAAGTGTTGGATTGTTCACACACTAATAGTAAACGTGAGCTGGGTTTAGACCGTCGTGAGGCAGGTTAGTTTAACCCTACTGATGAAGTGTTGCTGCAATGGTAATTCTGCTCAGTACGGGTGGAACCGCAGATTCAGACAATTGGCATTTGCACTTGGATGAAAACTACCATATGATGGATTATGACTGAACGCCTCTAAGTGAAAATCCGTGCTAGAACGCAACGATAATTAGCTCCAGACGATTTTAGGCGAAAATACCCACCAAGGCACTAAATAATAAATCAAAGTTTAAAATTTCTGAAGTAGCTTTGTTGTTACGATTTTATGAGGTTAAGATTTTGWTTTTCACCCAACAGAACATACTCCTCCTTGAGAACACTTGGCATTTGGGGGCCTACCTTCGTCCTGTCGGGCGTCGTGAACCAGGCCCGGATGTCTTGTTGTCTTGGAGGATAACTTCTTTACCTTTTTATCACTACGTGATCAATTCGCAACATACACTGATGTCATTCAGGATTAGGGTTAAAAAGGGGTAACACTATAACCGTGCTGAAAATGAAAGCAAATGATCGGAATTCGGATGTTGCACACCGATAGCACTATTTTACGCAAAACATTGGAGTCATTGGGCAATGTTTTACAGCGTTCCCCTTTCTAACCCTAACCCTACCCCTAGCCCTAGCCCTAAACCTAACTCTTGTTCAGGAATAAAGACTTTTTGTATTACTTTGTTCATTTAGATTTAGATAGATTTTTATTGAAAATTTTATCGCAGCCCATGGGCTGAGTACAAACAATCAAAATATATATATTAAAAAAAGGGATTCTTTTATAGCGCATTTTCACATTGTCTCAATGCGCTTTACATTGCAGTGGAGGACGTTACGGGCTGCATATTAAAGGCGCTATTAGCAGCATAAAATTGATAATAGTTAAAAATATATATATTAATAATATAGTAGCCATATCAAAATTAAAATTGTACCAATAATAATTCTAAAAATTTAGGGATAAAAGCTAATAAATATAAGTAGAAAAATTATCATTATCGTCATCATTACAGATATCATTGTAAAAAAAGCCGTCATGGCTTATCACCACCGCAAGTACAGCAGTGGCGAGCTGAAAGCATGTGAAGAATCCTTTAGCAGCCGTTTTCATCATCGTCACGTAACATTTGTTATCACCGCCATCGCCATCTCCACAAGAGATCATGACCATATCATCACCATCGTCATCGTCGTCATCACCATCATCACCACCTTCATTATCATCTCCATCACCATCATCATCACCATCATCATCATCATCATCATCATCATCGTCATCACCACCTTCATTATCATCTCCATCATCACCATCATCATCATCATTACCATCATCATCATACGGATGTACATAATATTTTCTCACAAATCCCACGGTCAAGTGAATAGCTTGCGCGAACAGGAGCAAAGTTTCGCAAAATTTCGATAATAGTTTWAAAAAATTAACTTATTTATTTATTTTAGGACTATTACATCATATTTTCTCTCTGTCACAAAACAAATCCCACAGTCACGTGATAAGCCTGCGTTAACAGCCGTTTCTTGCACTTCCATCCGTATCCAAAACGGCTGTTTAAACAGGCTATCACGTGGTATGTGACCCCACCCACTGTGTTTGACGAAACACTCGAACAATGGGGGGGTTATTACATTTATGGTGGGTTTTGATTATTACATTTATGGTTAAATTTTATTACATTTATGGTGGGTATTACAATTATGGGTGTTATTACATTTAAGGGTAATACAAGTCTTAGCCTCGATTGTGTAATATCYATTGTATAGTAAGGAATGTATACATTACGGAACAATACAAGGTGATTCTAATTGCGAGGGGTTGGGTTGAAAGACTGAATATTATAACGCACAACCGAGACTAAGGCTGAGCAAAGAGAACTTGAAAGTGGAGTATTCTCATGTGAATTATCAGCGATTACAGCGCGCGCCTGCTGCATTAGATCTCGCGCACCATTGCTCGCTTGTTGCTACAGGAATAGACAAGGCATTAACCAGAATAAGATTAGCCGGAGAAAACTGAAAATTTTCTACTGAATCTAGTAATTAGTACCTGTTTTACGAGAGTAAGACCGAATAGCCAGTGGATACTGAACTAGCCTGTAGCCTTCGTTCAATGATCAAATTGGAATTRAGCCTGGGTAGTAGCGGTGTTTTTGGGGCTTTGGGGAGGCAGACTGAGGAGCAGGGACGAGAAGGAAGCGCCTGCTTTAAAGACCGTGTTTTTCCCATTACGCCCCTCACGAATCAACAAGAAATTCTACTCACATAAAATAAACTGTGGTTGTTGATTGGGAAAATTAAGAGAAATTAAACTGTGCAAGTTAACACTTGGAGTAAATTTTTTGTCTCCATCTCTGCCGGTTACAGCCGTTGTACCACTGCACCAGGCATTAGATTGATCTCTCCATAGTCGTTTAAGATACCGCCGCATCTTTTCTGACCCACGTACCAATTCAATTACCAAATGCCGCCTRATTATCTCGTCTCTAACAATTTCCTTGAAATGTGATTGGAGCGGATCCTTAACAAACCCTTAGGATGTTTGATAAATACTCTTGTCTTTATTCTTCTCCGAGTGTGATATTTTCCCAATTCCTTGTTTTATTGTTTTCTAGCAGGGATTCTTTGGAGCTAATTAATAATAGTCACTTGTAATGTGTAATCCTATTTTTACCTCTCGTTGTCTCGTTGAACGCTGGAATCATTTTACTTATTTTTCTATTCCACATTGAAAAAAAAAAAAAGGAAAATAAAATAATACAAGAAAGTCCAGCCATTGTATATAATAAGAGATCAAATACAGGCCTTGTTAAAAACATAAACAAAACATCAGTTGCTCAGTTTACATCTATGTTAATTTTAATAACTATTTTGGTTATCTGAAAATAAAATTCCTGGTCAAAAGAAAAGAAAATCATCGATGTCAATATGTTTAATCTTTGAAACTGTTGATTAGAAGACGTCATCTTCAAGAACAGTCGAGAAAGACAATAAAAGCATGTGGCGGCCTCYTTGGAGCGACAGTTCGGTGTGGCTGCACAAAAACTGCAAGTAAATTCGGCGTGTTTGTATTATGTATCTTTACTCTAAATCGCAATAAAGACCTAAAAACTATAATTGCTATTCTCGAAACGGCTTTTTGATTGCCAGTTTAATGGAACCGCGTAATTTCCCCTCGTAAGGTGAAGTTTTGGCTATGCTACTGGTGCAGACATTATTAAGAATATATAATGAAGTTATACTGATGTCAGGTCTTAGACTTCACTTTTTTATGCACATTTCTTGTTGTCTTCTTCTGCTAAATTGGAAAGAAGCACAGAAAGAAARAAAAAACTTCAACTAAATCTTCAGGTAAGTGACATGTAAAATTAAATCATTCAAATTAGTAATTTTATTATAAACCCTGCTTCTGCCATGAACGAGTTTGAAGGAGCAGCGCTGGTG